GAGATATGGATCACTGGCACTTACAAATTATTTGTTTATTGTTTTCAATATAGTAATGAGCTGTTATGTGTTGTGTGAAGTAAGGACAACAATTAACAATTTGTTATCTCTTATATCACAAGTAGTTAAAGAATAGTTCACAAAAATGAATGAAAAAAATTGCTGAAAATGTACTTACCCTCAGGCCATCTGAACAGACTTTAATTCAGGATTACATCACTTGCTCACCAATGGATTCTCTGCAGTGAATGAGAGTCCAAACAGCTAATAAAAACATCACAATAATCCACACGACTCCAGTCCATCAATTAATGTCTTTTGAAGTGAAAAGATGCGTGTTTGTAAGAAACAAATCCATCAAGTCATTTTAACTTGCTTCAGGCCAAAATACCAGTCCATAATTCATAATAACACTTCATCCATTAAAAAAGTCCATCCCCTGTTGTCCTCTCACATTGAAATCCACCAACATATTTGTTTAGAACTGCTTTGGACTGTTTTCACTTGTGAAAGGTGCTTGATTTGTGCATATTTCTTTCCTTTTCATACAAGATGACTTGTTCACTGGAGAAAGCAAAATTATGGATAGAGGACTCGGTTTGAAGTAAAAAATAAGTTTGAAGTTAAAAATATCTTAATGGTGAATTTGTACAATACAAACATGCAGCCTTTCACTTCACAAGATGTTAATTGATGGACTGGAGTTGTGTGGATTACTGTGATGTTTGATCAGCTGCTTGAACTCATTCTGATGGCACCCATTCACCACAGAGGTGCAAGAGATGTAATGCTACATTTCTCCAAATAATGCATAAATTATCAATAATTTGTGTACAGAATAACTTACTGAGTAAAGGAGATGCAAGGCCTCCATTTCTGCCTTTGGATTGCCAAGCTGTCTGAACACCAGAGCACTTTGATAAAGTGCACTATGGCAAGCACAATCCACCTCCACAGACTTCCTATAAAAGTGGAGAGCACAATGGGGCTGACCCTGCAGGGACATAAATAACAGAGCCACTGAGAGTGCCTGGACTTAAGATAGAAAGTGTATGCTCAAATTCTGACCTACCACACATGAATCAGTTAATGTAATGTAACAAACAAACTTAATTCAATTAATCAAATATAAACAGCAACTGGTTCAGGAACTGTTGATTCAAGATTTTGTCTATTTAGGTCTATTTAGTTCAGGGTTCATTGGATGGGGATTGTAGAACAGAGCTTCTTACCAGCTTAGCAAAACTCTGGCCTGTGAGGGTGTGGATCTGTGCCAAGAGACTTCTAGGACTTGGGAGGCCTTTAGCCTCCTGAAAAGCTCCAAGGGCCTCAGAATATTTTTCCATCTTCATCTGTTCCACCCCTAAACCAGCAAACACATTTTAGGATTAATGGCAGTTCTACTATTTATTATGTTTTAAATAGCAAAGAAACAAGATCTGTATTGCTTTTTTACTTTAATACAATGTTTTTTTCATATAACAACTCTTATATGTAAGATGTACTTCTTGTGACATTAATATATGGACCTACATAATGTAAAAATATTTACATAAAGGTTTGATCACATTGTTTAATGAAATCGTCTACATCTTAGTTCAGATATTCCATACCTTGACACATTACAGTGCAGATGTGCAAGAGATCCTTGAGGTCCTTTGCTGCCATGGCAACCTTTAGTGAGGAGTCTTCTTCCATGCTCAAAGCAAGGTTTCGGGTTTCTGTCTGTAGATCCACAGGTGCTGAATGCTCGCTCTGAGAGGACAGCAGTCAAATACAGATTCTTGAAAACAGCAGTATTTACATGAACAATTTAAATCATTCTTAGGTCACTTTACTAGGCAATTTCTTGTTTACATCTGATGTGTTTAACTATAAAATACTGTTACATTACTGTTTGTAAGGATTCAATCCATATCAAGTGGTCCAATAGAGGTTGCTTTGCCATTTTTAAATGTACTATTTTTTGGAGTGATTACCTCTGTTTTGTTATGTTATGTTAAGTTATTTATTGCAAAACCATGAGTTTAATGGCCCACAACACATTTTGGTTATATGGACATTTATGGAAACCTAAATATCTAATCTCAGGATGGTCCTAACTTTTTTGGGGAAAAACTGTTCTCTAAAGCACATTCAATGTACATGTATAAACACTTTGCACATTAATGTTCCTTAGATTAAAATCTTAAATCCAAACAAAAAATTTCAATCCATAAAGGGAAGGTATTGAGTTGGGGGTACCTAGGTAAGTATAGTGTGCATTCAGAACATTTCAGGTTTGAGATTTATCTTAATTATTATTTAACGGGGGCAAAAAAGCACAATAAAAAAAAAATTCCCCTCACTTTCGGGTTGACTGGTGGGGACCTAATAGGAGCCTGACATTTTCACAGATACAAGTCCTCTAAGACAGCATTATGCTGTAAAAATACTGAGTTTGAGATTCTGCTTTCACTAGTAGAAATCTGGAGAAAAGCTTACATTATCCATGTGCTTTCAGAAATAAACAGATGTAACATAAACATAACAAGTAATAAAAACTGGTCAGTATTTTACAGTAATTATGTTTATACTTGACACACAATAGCATATGCTTGTAAATGAGGTATAAAACAGTGGTTCTCAACCAGAGAGCCAGGGACCACTAGGGAGCTTCAGCAAACTTCCAAGGGGGACCTAATAATTCTTTATTTTAATAAAAACTGTAAAAATTAATACCTTGTGATTAGTTTGCATCAGAAGAGTAAGAACTTTCTCTAACTGACACTGCATGAGCCACAGCATCCACTGGATGAGCAGAAGCTTGTGGACATAAGGCACATAGACTGAGGAGCCAAAAGTCTGTAGAACAGCCTCCCACAACTGAACCGGATCAGAACAGGAAACCTGAGATCCACCAGCCTCTAAAGCTGCAGGAAAAAAAGAAAAAAAACCCCAGAAAGGCAGAGCAAACATAAAACACATACACAACCACTGCATATATTAATAATTTAAAAAAATAAGACATGATGTTATTTACCTCTTAATAAACTATTGGTGAGACTTTCCTCTATTTCACTTGCATTGGAGAAATTCAACGAGAATAAAAACGTATTATATGAAACTGTCATTTCAAGTTCGAGTCGTTCAGTAGCTGCTGGTATTCCTGTGTAAACAGAATATGGTTATGAGCTTCTAATATCACCTTACTTACAGCCATCAAATCAAAAGTAACACATGAAAATACCTTGAATTTTCTGCAGCAGTTTAAGGCTTTCCGACCAGCATCGCTTCCAAACATGCTGATTTGGTTCAAGGCCTCGTTCATTTTGCTGAAACGGTAATTCGGCACATGAGTATGTCTGCGTAAAGTCTAACATTACTGTAAACGAAAAAATATTAATTTCGCAACAGTAACGTTACCTTCCAAGTCAACATGATGTTGTTATTCTCCTCACTCCATCTATCAACTAAACAGGGAATGACAGACATGACAAAAACCGCAAACAGAGGCAGTTAAATGGTACCTAATATTTCATATCTACTGTATAAAGCCACAGTCCATTCTGATTTCTGATTCAGTACCAAAGCCGCTCTCTGTCAGTACCTTCCTCGTCTGATTCGAACTTTCCCTCCACTAAGTCTAAACAAATGATTAGCGATACAGCGCCATCTACTGTTTGGGATGTATTAGTGAAAATATGTCCATGGAGACATAATTTAATAATTAATTTATGCATTTAGCAGACGCTTTTATCCAAAGCGACTTGCAGTGCATTCAGGCTATCTATGAATAATGAATTAACTAAATGTAATATTTAATTAAATGGCTCACTATGTTCAGTTTTAACCTGTTGTGTGCAATCTTATGCATTTAAAAAAATATATGACAATGTTTTGTAATTATCTTTTAAATCTGATTAATTTTCAAATTGTTTGTCGTAAATAAAAAATATTTTGGGGTTTCAAATCGGAATATGACTTTTTATTATGAAACAGGGCATAATTTTCATAGAGGACACCAGGACAAATGAGATATTCTTATAAAAATGTTATTACTCCCATTATAACACTTATTTTTTTCATTATAGTTTGCCCTAAGAACACATTAATATGCTAATTAGATGCAATGTATAGATACATTGTATAGAATGGGAATACCAATTTATTTATGGAATAACATATTCCATAAAGTAAAATAGTATATCTGTTATATCTTTAATAACATAGTTGAGAATCGTCTTTGTACAAAGCTTGGTTAAAAATAGCCTGAAACCTAATAACTTGCCTATTCATGCCTTTTCATGTCTATTTTTTTTTTTTTAATAACTTAGTCCTGGCGTCCTCTACAAAGGACACAGAATAAAATATGAATAAAATATATTTTTATGTTTTTCTCCATTTGTTTCTTATGCTCCAACCAATGTAATGGCATAAAAAAAATCACATTTTTTAAAATTTATTTTCATCATAGACAACTTTGCAGTGCTGAATAAAGAACCATATTTTGCATATCAAACATGTAATAAATGCAGAAGTCATATTATTTTTCCAGTGTTGCAAGCTACTAACATGACCTACTTAAAAATTGTAAAGTTATGTAAGAATACCAGACAATTTCTTTGTGTACATGTATCATGGGTGTGACAAAATATGAGCACACCTAGTAATACATTAAAAAGATAATCTCACCAGAACCTGTGGAACATTCTAGTGATCATCTTAAATTTCAAATGCCATAATTTCATTATTATTATTTTTATTATTAAGAAGACGACGAAGTAATATTAGTGTGTGTGCGCCATGTTTGCATATGTAAATGCTTGATTGTTTATTTATTGAGCATTATTTCTGTGTATTTCTGCGGTCACATGCATAATATAGTTATAGTGCATATTATTAAGTAGTGCAAACTATGTTGAATCTAAATGCCTTCACTGGTCTGTCCAGTAATGGGGTCATCTGGGTCTATATGACTCGCTCCACATGACTCCGCAGTGCTTTCTGTCGCAGCATAAATTAATATTCGACGTCACAGCCTCTCTTTCTCAAGTCCTCCGGCGGAGAGGAGCAGCGACCGCAGCGCGAGGCCGTCCTACACTTGGGAGCCGTTCGCCAAAATGGTACGATATTTCACCGTGTCAGTTCACCAGGCTGCATTAAAATTGACTGAAGCGCTATATTAAAACGTTTTAGTAAATGTAGGACGCATTTCTTCAGTCGTTTATGTATCTTATCTTATTCTGATGTCAATGACGTAATGACAGCCTGCTTTGAAGATTCTCGCATTTGTGTCAACCTTGAACTTGAATCATATACGCTGAACATTTCATTGCTGTCTTTATTTTAAAATGGCCAGGAAAGAGAATGACGCATTCAACTATACGTCTTTTTATTCGATGGGAGCTCAAAATGGATAAGTCACGATTTCAGTAAGTTCGTCATGTAACAGATATACGTTACTACGCGTAAATGTAAAGCACAACCGCATGGATCTTTGTTTTTAAGTGAAAGTAAGCCGTGTTATTTGAGGGTTATGGCCCAGCACGGTGCACTGTGGAATAACGTTACCCCGTTATAAATAGCGCGTTTACGCCCACTGTTCTTTTCTATGCGCGTATTTAAGTTTCATGTGCGGAGAGCGAGCGAGCGAGCCACGAATATAGAGGGTTGCTGGATGCAAATAGGGTTATTATAGTGACGGGGCCGCTGTGTTATTGTTTTTGAGGGGCGAAACAACCCACCTCTCTCATCAGCCTAAACAAGCTTGTCATTGGCTAGTGTATCGCTGCTGGGCAGCGCCTGTGCTGAGGAGACTGCAGCGCCCAGCGGCTCCCCAGAAACTGCGCACTCATGGTACAGACCGCACTTCAGCGCGCTCTCTCAATTAAAAAGCGTTAATGAAATCAGCATTTACTGTTTGAAAGCATAATACACGGAAAAATGCAAGTAAAATGTTTTAACGCATAAGAAGGTGAGCTTACTTGACCATATACAGTAAAAACAGATATTTTGAATATATTAGCCTGTATTTTTAAATAAAATACATGGAAACCTGTAAAAAGTATGAAATGCCTTTTAATTTACGGGAGAAGACTCATATCCAGAATTCCCTGCTTGAACCATCACATTTGTTTGGATTGTATCTAACTTGAAATATTATTATTTTAATATTTTAATTATAATTTAAAAATATATTTAATCGTTACTTATTTCATTAATACTTATTTAATGTTTACTGCATTATCATGTGTCAATAGGTTTTGTGTTTCTGTGCTCTGTCTTTGTTATTATTGGCCATAGGTTATTATGTGGCCCTACATTGCACAACCTGTGGTATTATTAGCACATTTTACAGTAAAATTTTTAAAAATACAATTTTAATAGCTCAAATAGATTGGTGTTAACATTATATAATATAATGACATATACAGTTCCAGTGTACATATACAGTCACCAAAATGGCAATTCTTGTGTTATCCTCTTTTTCTTGTACATTAAAGTTTTTTTTCTGTAAATTTAATTAAAAAATAATTAATTTCGCTTGTATTGAGGAATTAAATGCATGAGCTTAGTTAGACTGTCACTTTTTGTAGGTTCCCATCCTTTAAACCATGAGCCCGAGGCATTCATTTGTTTTTACATCACATTTGTCCCCCACACACAAACAACTCAATCATATTTACTCCACAACAACACTTGACAAACTTGTCTTTGTCCCTCAGGTGAACTTCACGGTAGACCAGATTCGGGAAATCATGGACAAAAAGTCCAACATCAGGAACATGTCTGTGATCGCCCATGTGGACCATGGCAAATCTACTCTCACTGATTCCTTGGTGTGCAAGGCTGGTATTATTGCTTCTGCACGTGCAGGAGAGACCAGATTTACTGACACCAGAAAAGATGAACAGGAGAGATGTATCACCATAAAGTCAACGTAGGTATTCCTGTTTAAAAAGTTTACATTTATTTAAACGTCTCAAATTAGCCATTACTCCAGTGTTCAGTATCACAAGATTCTTCAGAAATCATTCTAATATGCTGATTTGCTGTTGAAGGAACACTTTTTATTATTATCAATGTTGTGCTGCTTAATATTTTTGTTGAAATACATTTTCCAGGATTCTTTGATGTATAGAATTGTAATTATTGTAATTTGTCCTTGCAAAGTATTACTTTCTTTCAACACACATTAGTGGACTGTTGATATAAAACCTTGTAGTTTTTGAGATATGGCTCTTTCATCAACTAGCACGAGTGTCTATTTATCGAGGAAATACCACAATGACATTTTTTACAAACATTGAAACCCTCTACATATGTTTCCCTCACAGGGCCATCTCTCTATATTATGAGCTTGGTGAGAATGACTCAGCCTTCATTAAGCAGTGCAAGGATGGTTTTGGCTTCCTCATCAACCTGATCGACTCACCGGGACATGTTGACTTCTCTTCTGAGGTGACAGCAGCTCTAAGAGTTACAGATGGTGCCCTTGTAGTGGTAGACTGTGTATCAGGTAAGGCAAATTAATTTTAGGATATCAAGTTCACACTTCTTTTCTCTAATGAAGGCAGTCCTCTAAAATGCAATAAGAACATTCAACCACACTAATGGTTTCATCGTATAACCTTATAGTAAGATTTCGATGTCTGACCAAAAAGTGAGTTTAAAAAGGCAAAATTTGAATTGTTCCACAGGTGTATGTGTGCAGACTGAAACCGTCTTGAGACAAGCCATTGCAGAGCGCATCAAGCCTGTCTTGATGATGAACAAGATGGATCGTGCCCTCCTCGAGTTGCAGCTGGAACCCGATGAGCTTTTCCAAACCTTCCAGAGGATTGTGGAGAATGTTAACGTCATCATCTCAACCTACGGTGAAGGAGAGCATGGACCAATGGGAAACATTATGGTAACAGATCAGTAGCAGTTGAGACAGAAAAGTCAACTTTATGAGTCAAATAAATGATTTTGTTTATCTGTTTCTTATTGATTTGGGGGGTACCTTAGGTGGACCCTGTGATTGGGACTGTTGGATTTGGATCAGGTCTCCATGGCTGGGCTTTTACTCTGAAGCAGTTTGCTGAGATGTATGTGGCCAAGTTTGCTGCCAAAGGAGATAAGAAAAAAGCAGACCTTCCTCCAGCAGAACGGGCTAAGAAAGTGGAGGAGATGATGAAAAAGCTTTGGGGAGAAAAGTAAGTGTCTAAGCTGCCCATGTGATTTCCAGTATAAATTGTGTGTATATACAAAATACTCTTTATCTCAAAGCCATCTTTTTCAGGTACTTTGATCCCTCTTGTGGAAAATTCAGCAAATCGGCAGCCAATGCAGATGGCAAGAAGCTTCCTCGTACTTTCTGCCAGCTTGTCTTGGATCCAATCTTTAAGGTTTCCGTTTAAATCAGTTCTTCTTATCACTCGAGTCTTGCTACTGTGACTCATTTACAGCTCATCTCTTATTTGAACTCCTTTCACAGGTTTTTGATGCCATTATGAATTTCAAAAAAGAAGAGACCCAGAAACTGATTGAGAAACTTGAAGTTAAGCTTGATGCAGAAGACAAAGAAAAAGAAGGAAAACCTCTACTTAAGGTACAACTAAAGAACTAAACTTCTGAGAATCTGCACCCTAATTCTACCGTTGCTGTTGACACACGGTTGTTTCGATGCTTCCAGGCTGTGATGCGCCGCTGGTTGCCTGCAGGTGACGCTTTGCTCCAGATGATCACCATCCATCTTCCTTCTCCTATATTAAAACATATTGGTACATTTAGTACGCATTTCTTCAGTCATTTATATAATCTTATTTTATTCTGATGTCAATGACGTAATGACAGCCTGCTTTGAAGATTCTCGCATTTGTGTCAACCTTGAACTTGAATCATATACGCTGAACATTTCATTGCTGTCTTTATTTTAAAATGGCCAGGAAAGAGAATGACGCATTCAACTATACGTCTTTTTATTCGATGGGAGCTCAAAATGGATAAGTCACGATTTCAGTAAGTTCGTCATGTAACAGATATACGTTACTACGCGTAAATGTAAAGCACAACCGCATGGATCTTTGTTTTTAAGTGAAAGTAAGCCGTGTTATTTGAGGGTTATGGCCCAGCACGGTGCACTGTGGAATAACGTTACCCCGTTATAAATAGCGCGTTTACGCCCACTGTTCTTTTCTATGCGCGTATTTAAGTTTCATGTGCGGAGAGCGAGCGAGCGAGCCACGAATATAGAGGGTTGCTGGATGCAAATAGGGTTATTATAGTGACGGGGCCGCTGTGTTATTGTTTTTGAGGGGCGAAACAACCCACCTCTCTCATCAGCCTAAACAAGCTTGTCATTGGCTAGTGTATCGCTGCTGGGCAGCGCCTGTGCTGAGGAGACTGCAGCGCCCAGCGGCTCCCCAGAAACTGCGCACTCATGGTACAGACCGCACTTCAGCGCGCTCTCTCAATTAAAAAGCGTTAATGAAATCAGCATTTACTGTTTGAAAGCATAATACACGGAAAAATGCAAGTAAAATGTTTTAACGCATAAGAAGGTGAGCTTACTTGACCATATACAGTAAAAACAGATATTTTGAATATATTAGCCTGTATTTTTAAATAAAATACATGGAAACCTGTAAAAAGTATGAAATGCCTTTTAATTTACGGGAGAAGACTCATATCCAGAATTCCCTGCTTGAACCATCACATTTGTTTGGATTGTATCTAACTTGAAATATTATTATTTTAATATTTTAATTATAATTTAAAAATATATTTAATCGTTACTTATTTCATTAATACTTATTTAATGTTTACTGCATTATCATGTGTCAATAGGTTTTGTGTTTCTGTGCTCTGTCTTTGTTATTATTGGCCATAGGTTATTATGTGGCCCTACATTGCACAACCTGTGGTATTATTAGCACATTTTACAGTAAAAATACAATTTTAATAGCTCAAATAGATTGGTGTTAACATTATATAATATAATGACATATACAGTTCCAGTGTACATATACAGTCACCAAAATGGCAATTCTTGTGTTATCCTCTTTTTCTTGTACATTAAAGTTTTTTTTCTGTAAATTTAATTAAAAAATAATTAATTTCGCTTGTATTGAGGAATTAAATGCATGAGCTTAGTTAGACTGTCACTTTTTGTAGGTTCCCATCCTTTAAACCATGAGCCCGAGGCATTCATTTGTTTTTACATCACATTTGTCCCCCACACACAAACAACTCAATCATATTTACTCCACAACAACACTTGACAAACTTGTCTTTGTCCCTCAGGTGAACTTCACGGTAGACCAGATTCGGGAAATCATGGACAAAAAGTCCAACATCAGGAACATGTCTGTGATCGCCCATGTGGACCATGGCAAATCTACTCTCACTGATTCCTTGGTGTGCAAGGCTGGTATTATTGCTTCTGCACGTGCAGGAGAGACCAGATTTACTGACACCAGAAAAGATGAACAGGAGAGATGTATCACCATAAAGTCAACGTAGGTATTCCTGTTTAAAAAGTTTACATTTATTTAAACGTCTCAAATTAGCCATTACTCCAGTGTTCAGTATCACAAGATTCTTCAGAAATCATTCTAATATGCTGATTTGCTGTTGAAGGAACACTTTTTATTATTATCAATGTTGTGCTGCTTAATATTTTTGTTGAAATACATTTTCCAGGATTCTTTGATGTATAGAATTGTAATTATTGTAATTTGTCCTTGCAAAGTATTACTTTCTTTCAACACACATTAGTGGACTGTTGATATAAAACCTTGTAGTTTTTGAGATATGGCTCTTTCATCAACTAGCACGAGTGTCTATTTATCGAGGAAATACCACAATGACATTTTTTACAAACATTGAAACCCTCTACATATGTTTCCCTCACAGGGCCATCTCTCTATATTATGAGCTTGGTGAGAATGACTCAGCCTTCATTAAGCAGTGCAAGGATGGTTTTGGCTTCCTCATCAACCTGATCGACTCACCGGGACATGTTGACTTCTCTTCTGAGGTGACAGCAGCTCTAAGAGTTACAGATGGTGCCCTTGTAGTGGTAGACTGTGTATCAGGTAAGGCAAATTAATTTTAGGATATCAAGTTCACACTTCTTTTCTCTAATGAAGGCAGTCCTCTAAAATGCAATAAGAACATTCAACCACACTAATGGTTTCATCGTATAACCTTATAGTAAGATTTCGATGTCTGACCAAAAAGTGAGTTTAAAAAGGCAAAATTTGAATTGTTCCACAGGTGTATGTGTGCAGACTGAAACCGTCTTGAGACAAGCCATTGCAGAGCGCATCAAGCCTGTCTTGATGATGAACAAGATGGATCGTGCCCTCCTCGAGTTGCAGCTGGAACCCGATGAGCTTTTCCAAACCTTCCAGAGGATTGTGGAGAATGTTAACGTCATCATCTCAACCTACGGTGAAGGAGAGCATGGACCAATGGGAAACATTATGGTAACAGATCAGTAGCAGTTGAGACAGAAAAGTCAACTTTATGAGTCAAATAAATGATTTTGTTTATCTGTTTCTTATTGATTTGGGGGGTACCTTAGGTGGACCCTGTGATTGGGACTGTTGGATTTGGATCAGGTCTCCATGGCTGGGCTTTTACTCTGAAGCAGTTTGCTGAGATGTATGTGGCCAAGTTTGCTGCCAAAGGAGATAAGAAAAAAGCAGACCTTCCTCCAGCAGAACGGGCTAAGAAAGTGGAGGAGATGATGAAAAAGCTTTGGGGAGAAAAGTAAGTGTCTAAGCTGCCCATGTGATTTCCAGTATAAATTGTGTGTATATACAAAATACTCTTTATCTCAAAGCCATCTTTTTCAGGTACTTTGATCCCTCTTGTGGAAAATTCAGCAAATCGGCAGCCAATGCAGATGGCAAGAAGCTTCCTCGTACTTTCTGCCAGCTTGTCTTGGATCCAATCTTTAAGGTTTCCGTTTAAATCAGTTCTTCTTATCACTCGAGTCTTGCTACTGTGACTCATTTACAGCTCATCTCTTATTTGAACTCCTTTCACAGGTTTTTGATGCCATTATGAATTTCAAAAAAGAAGAGACCCAGAAACTGATTGAGAAACTTGAAGTTAAGCTTGATGCAGAAGACAAAGAAAAAGAAGGAAAACCTCTACTTAAGGTACAACTAAAGAACTAAACTTCTGAGAATCTGCACCCTAATTCTACCGTTGCTGTTGACACACGGTTGTTTCGATGCTTCCAGGCTGTGATGCGCCGCTGGTTGCCTGCAGGTGACGCTTTGCTCCAGATGATCACCATCCATCTTCCTTCTCCTGTCACTGCCCAAAAGTACCGCTGTGAACTGCTTTACGAGGGTCCTGGAGATGATGAGGCCGCCATGGGTGAGTGTTAACATTGCGAGGTGTTTGACACGTCAGGGAGATCCGTTTTTGCCAGCTTTTTCACATTCCACCTTTGACTTTTCAGGTATAAAGAACTGTGATCCTAAAGCCCCTCTCATGATGTACATCTCCAAGATGGTGCCAACCACCGACAAGGGTAGATTCTATGCCTTTGGTCGTGTCTTCTCTGGTGTTGTTTGTACAGGGCAGAAGGTGCGCATCATGGGCCCAAACTTCACACCAGGAAAAAAGGAGGACTTGTACATAAAGCCAATCCAAAGGTTTGCTGCTGTCAATTACATATACAATACAAGTCATTCTCAATTGATGATTTGATGATCATTACCCTTATTAACATTAGGATCACACTATGTCCTCCTCAGAACTATCTTGATGATGGGTCGCTACGTAGAGCCCATTGAAGAGGTGCCATGCGGGAACATTGTTGGTTTGGTTGGGGTTGATCAGTTCCTAGTTAAGACTGGCACCATTACCACTTTTGAAAATGCTCACAACATGCGTATTATGAAGTTCAGTGTTAGTCCCGTGGTGAGAGTTGCTGTGGAGGCCAAGAACCCAGCTGATCTGCCAAAGTTGGTAGAGGGCCTTAAACGCCTGGCCAAGTCTGATCCTATGGTTCAGGTGAATATCTTAGCAGGGTAATAAGATGGTGAAAACAAAATTCAGTCTTTCCATTAACAAACACAAGTTTCTTCTGCTAGTGTATCATTGAAGAGTCTGGTGAGCACATTGTAGCAGGTGCTGGAGAGCTTCATCTGGAGATTTGCCTAAAAGACCTTGAGGAAGATCATGCCTGCATCCCTCTGAAGGTAGCGCTTGGATGACAATACTGATGAGTTTACAGATATTTTTTACTTCATTCCTTTCCATTAAGAGCTTGAGGCCATTTTTTTTTGCAGAAATCAGACCCAGTTGTGTCATATCGTGAAACCGTCAGTGAAGAATCAGACCAGGTTTGCTTGTCCAAGTCTCCCAACAAGCACAATCGTCTGTACATGAAAGCTCGGCCCCTCCCAGATGGCCTAGCCGAGGACATCGATAAGGGTGATGTGACCGCTCGACAGGAGCTCAAACAGAGAGCTCGCTACCTGGCTGAGAAATACGAATGGGAGGTCGCTGAGGCCCGTAAGATTTGGTGCTTTGGACCAGATGGCACAGGGCCCAACATCCTTGTGGATATCACAAAGGGCGTTCAGTATCTGAATGAGATAAAGGACAGCGTAGTGGCCGGTTTCCAGTGGGCAACCAAAGAAGTGAGTAAAGACAGGTTATGTATTTTAATTTATGCTTAGTCATTTCTACACAGTAATGAGATACTATTTTGTGTTACTTTACCAGGGTGCACTCTGTGAAGAGAACATGCGGGCAGTACGATTTGACATTCATGACGTCACTCTTCACGCTGATGCCATTCATAGAGGTGGCGGTCAGATCATTCCCACAGCCCGCAGAGTTCTGTACGCTTCTGTGCTCACTGCACAGCCAAGACTCATGGAGCCCATTTACCTGGTCGAGATTCAGGTACACATGGTGGTTTTCTAGAACAGAAAAACAAGAGAGCAACCTTGATGTTAATACATTTCCTTTTCTCC